AATATAGCTAGGTCGGTGTTATATCCATGTCCTAAACACAAAATTACTTCTATTTTGCCGAGGAGGGAGCAGAAGAGCAGATGAGTCATCGCACGCCGCGAGCCGCGTGGTCCCCCCCCCCAAATACGTTAGCACCGTTAATTGTACTTCATAAATGAGCGATAAGAGTATCCAGCGTCGATGTGACTTACGGCCATTTGTGGGCGGGCGGTTGCGATGGGCGTCTGGGTCGGCATGTTGCACCATGGTTAGGCACTATAACGACGCCTCTGCTTATCGTGCCACTTGCCTTTAAGAAGCTGTATTCACTACAACGAGTTTCTCTCCGGTAAAGAAAAAAACGTTGAGAATACGGTATTAAAAACCTCCTAGCAGTCACACTGGGCGAGTTTACCGGATTTGCGGATCGCCAAAAAGCACGGAAAACTCGTACATGCCAGCAAATCGATACTTTGTCGCCTGTATGTACCTACTGGCTCACGAATCATTTCTTCGTGCCACCCTGTACTTGAGGTCATTGAACATTGGAAAGAAAGGGCATAAAAACGAGTAATAGAAATTAGCCCAGCAGGAAATAGAAAACGCTTTGTGCAAAAATGCGATTACGGCAGTCCGACGAACTTGCACTAATACAATTCTCCCAGTGGTGAATTGAATCGAAACGCGTTTTACTCTACGGAGTCGTTTCCCTTTGTCTTCTCCAGCTTTTGAGAGCAGTATCCAGGAATGCAGAATTGTGAGCACGAGCGCATTTAGCGGAAATGAGCGCGCATATTAGCTTTGTGCAGGTCGCTATAACAAAGAAGACGAACGGTACACTCACCTCCGTGTACGATCCTTGCGATGTGCGTGAACAGGCACCTGTACAAATGAACCTTTCACCACAGGGCACATCGTTGTTGGGAAATCCCCAATAGGGGGTCGTATTTGGCCGCCAGGAGAGGGGGTCGTATTTGGGCTGGGAAAAATTTATTTTGATAGTTGATTTTTCTCGCTTCACGGACGTTGTAAGGGGGGTCGTACTTGGTCATTGTTGGGGGGGGGTCGTATTTACCTTTCAGCGTTGTAGGATAGAGGGCGCAGACAAGTGGCCGTTTGGCTATGGCTAGGAGTGTGGTGACCGTGCGGAGCACGAGGGGATTTGCGAGAGGCACCCGGGTGTCAGTCCTCACCTCCCCACTCCCGTTCAGTTTTGAGCGGAGAAAATGCCGCACATAGCAGTTGCGGACCCATTCACGTCGCACATACCGAGGACCAGGTGAGAGTTACACTTCTGCTACCACTTCATTCCGTCTGTTTAAGCCGTGACGCGCGGCATCAGGCGAAAGAGCGATTCATCAAAACGACTGTTTTCAAATGAGAAATACACTTTTGCTCGAGAAAGCTGCAAGTCCATACTAGAGCCAGGAAGATGGAAAGTGGTTTAATGGAATCCCCTAGAACTATAGTGTTGTATGATAATGCTCCGACTCCACAAAGCAGTGACTAGGGGGTGAGCATAAGACCGAAGAGGGAATTCGCAGTTGTGTCAGTCACTCGATAAACCCGACGTTATCCTTCTCGGGGGGAGGGAGAGGAGTGATGCCGGGTTTCATGTGTGGATTGTCGCTTTTATAATTGCTTTGCACCTCTCAAAAGTTCTCTACCTCGTATTACACATACCGACTTGTGTTAGTTTAGAAGCATGCTCAATATTCCTACTGAAAGTGGTATGCAGTGTGACCAAGAGTTTGCGCAGCACTTCACGGCTCTACCTCGTCCTGTTGGAGGGACATTAAAGGGAACTCGCTCTTAAGTTCTCTCAGACCAACGTAGTGCAGTTATGCTGCTCCATCAACCAACTAAGGAAGGTATTGCGCGTGGTGCGCGCGAAATAAGGAAATTTTTTTCCGAGATAAATCACGTCTCCACTTTCTTATCGGTCAAGTATGATCCATGTTAGCGGTCGCAATTTTGCACAAGCTCTTCAAATCCAATCCCTTCCCCCCTCCTCAGCTCCTACTTCTTAGAAGAGATCGCGATCAACATGTGAACCAAGCTGTCCCGCTTCAGGGTGCTTTATGCATACCAGTTTCATTGGTCGTGCTTGTCTCCAACTGAAAAGAAAGTGCGCACATCAAAAGAGCTGTTATATACTCCGCATACGCGCTACTTCTCATTTCTACCTGATTTGAGAAAGTCAGGATTGGCTTCAATATCGTGAAAAATTTGCAGACGCTAAGAAGTATCGAGAAAAATTCCGGCCAAAAGCGCCAAAATCCGAAGACATCGATCCGAAAAAATTCGATTATGTAGGACCTATAAAGCTCCAAAATCAGCTGCGTGGTAAAGTGGTGAGTGATGTTCATGCACTTTGGACGCACTGTCCGTGATCAAAATCATGGGTAGTGGGATTTACTTACGAACAGCAAGGTGGTAAATCATTCAACAAAGAAGAAAAAAGGTGACACAGATGCAAGTCTCCTAGATACGACCCTCTTTTAATCTGAACTGGTGCGAGCATAGTTCGTAGGGATTTTGTGCCTGGACGAGCTCTTACTCGTTGGCATCAGCTGCTTACTCTTGTTACCTCACTCTCACCACTCGGAAAGAAAGGAGCTAATAATGCAACAACCACACTACCAGCGGGACATTGGAAATGAAAGTGGGGCGTGGCATAATAGTACGGACGGAGCATTAACGTCATCACAAATGTTTAGCGTTTTCACTTCTTCGAGGTACATTCTGTGTGCCTGTGCCTCGTCTAGAGAAGGAGCCTACACATCACATCATTGCGAGGTGTTTCTCTAACCTGAAAGGCACTGTACGCAACTGCACATCATAGGCCCATAAACAAAGCTCCAGAAAGATTCAGTAGTACAAGTCTATGTGGCAGTTGAAAAAGCAGGGAAGACAAAGACATTTATAACGTTTTAGATAAGATCCTATCCTATCCCACCGAGAAACGAGAAATAGACCATAAGTGGCGAAAGAAAACCTAGATTAGTGGGTCCGCAAGCTGTCGATACCCGCATTTGTGAAAGAAGCAAAGGATGAAGATAAAAAAAAAGAGCAGCGTTCACGAATTTGCGACGACCGCGCTGTAATGCTGCGTTGGAATGCGCGACTGGTCGCTTAATCAATCGCAACAGTGCTCCAAGGCTATAGGCGCGAACGCAGCAGCAGAGGGATCGATCGGAGCTGGCAGCTTGTGCTTTGAGTGAATGTAGGATAAGAAGGGTAGGCGCTTCTACAAAATCTGGTACTCTTTCCACTTTATATACTCCCTGCGATTACACAATGCGGTCGATACAGACTGCGCTGGATTAAGGCAGCGTTTCATACTTGTAGCGCTCACGTCGCGCTTTGCGTCGCGCTACTCGTCGTAAGCGTCCGCTACTGCGTCGGCGCTACTGGCGTCGCGCTACGCGTTAGCGCTACAGCAGTAACGCGGCTAACTGCGTCGCGCTACAGCGTCGCGCTACAGCACCGCTTCGCAACGTACTGCAATTTCCAACGTTAGGATGATTAGAGTTGCTTATAGAGAAAAGTGGGAAGGTTGCTGGAGTTTTCTTGAGAAATTCACGGAAAGGTGAGACTGATGCAGCTGTAACTATTAGGTTGGCTAATAAGTAATGGCCGTTTTTTTCAACTGAAAAATTTGTTCCAAAAGTGAACTGGTTTGCAAGCAAGCTTAATATCGTTTAATAGCAAAACTTAAGTATAAGAATATCCAGAAGATGATGAAGTCGCCGAAAATTAGCACCTTCGACAACTGCCTCTATTTAGAAATTTCATGCTAATAGTTGAATTAACTGAATATGAATTTGATATTCTAATACTACGAGAAATTTGCTATTAAACGATATTAAGCTTGCTTGCAAAACTTTTCACTTTTGGAACAAATTTTTCAATTGAAAAAAAACCGCCATTACTTATTAGCCAACCTAATATCTGACCATCCTTGACAGTTACTCCATTATTCGTCAAGAGTGTCCTTCTGTCCTATTAAGAGCATTTTCTGCAAAAAACACCCAAAGAGTACTCGCGCCACCTAAAAACACGCACGCATGTTTTTTACCGGAGACAGAAGAACCATAAAGGAACTTTCTTGTTTGCATTGATGTGCTAACGCATTGGTGACCAGACAGTGTTCGCGTGCCTGTTGTGGGAGATAAGGCCATTTTTACGCTCCTGGGCCAAAAAAAGTACAAGAAACTGTCAAAGCTTTGTTGGGTAATGCCTCGAAAACCGGCATGAATCTTTTTCCTGTGATCCAGGCAGAGATTGGGGGCAAATTCGAAAAGCAGATTTCGCTCCGCGTAAGTCCCAAAAAATAAGCCGGCATAGATTCATTATTTCATTCTTTCTATATTCAATCCTCTTCTCTTTGTTTCTCATATTTATCTAATAGTGAGCTCCTGTTTTCTACTTTATCACATTTTAATGTAGTTTCGCAATCGGGATCAAAACGAGGCAGTACTGCAAGACATCAAGCAAAGCCATCAAACATCAAGCAACTGTGAAACCAAATAATTAAAGTCAAAAATGATAAATAAAACCATTATCACAGTCTTCTGTATCAAAAACTACATCAAAATGTGATAAAGTAGAAAACAGGAGCTCACTATCAGATAAATATGAGAAACAAAGAGAAGAGGATGATATAGAAAGAAAAAACATAAAAGCTGGAGTTCGGTACAACTGTAGCGCTACAGCTGTAGCGCGACGCTGTAGCGCTACGCTGTAGCGCGACGCTGTAGCGGTTACAAGTAGAACGCTCATTAAGCAACGCGTACCTACTCCCCCCGAACTCTCTCAATACAGAAGCGGCCGTCGTTGATAGATTCGTCGCGTTCACGTGTTGCAATAGCGCGTCGCCGCGAGTCACCGCGAGGTCTCAACAAGCCCAAGCCGTGGCAGATCTCAAGTGTTCTTAGCGAGAGCTTTCGAGCCGCGACAGTGGTGTATGAGGCTGAGCACCACCGCAAGCTCTAGACATTCTGACTGAAAAGTGGACCATGGCACAGACGTCACCGGTGGGGGGGGGGGGGAGGACGTGGGGGGCGGTTTGCAAACACATCAACTGTCTCCAAAGGCAAGTGTAAAAGGTATGGCCGATTTTGAGAGAATTTAACCTAATTTCCAGGAACATGCATTAGATGACGAAGTATCTGGCCCTCTTGGAAACCTTGCCTACGATGAGAATTTAAATGAAGTGGTAGACATTGGATCGGATGTGGAGGAAATCGAGGTACGCTTCGTTAAGTCTTGGTCTTTTGAAACATAATCAGCTACTTTTGTTGCAGGGTATGGATGGAACAACAGCTTCCACATTATGCTCAGAATTGGTGGAAGATCAGAACGCTGGTGCACGTCTCAAAGCAAGCAGCGAGAAAAAACCATCGCAAACCCTACGGTCGCGATTATCTGCAAAACGCTCGAGATATGCGGTAAGCTGGCTTTCTGTTCTTGTTCTTCTATTGTGAGTTCTGCCTTTTCAGTTTTCCAAAACTAGTAGAACCTCCAAAACTAGCAAGGGAAGGAAGAGTCGCATGAGCACTCGACGTCACCACAACAAGAGTAAGGCCCAAAAGTGAACACTCAAGCGAACACATGTAAACAACTGGACTCTAATTTATCATCAAAATATTACAAATTATATTATTATCTTAGAAATTAAATCCTTATAAATACGTGTTAGCTTCACTGGTTACACCTCGTTGTTCTCGTATGTATTATAAACAAGGCCATAATGCAGGCATTTGAAATTGCAGCAAATATTTTCTTTGATTATAAATACTCACTATAAACACCGAGGGACCGCTTATACGTAAGCCCGAGGGTCACCTCTGCGCACCTCCAAGCGCCAGTGCTAGTTCGGAACAGAAGCGAAAACGAGTTATCTTGAAAAACGGCTCATGATTTCGAAGGGCCCCTATGCAGATTTGCGAATACACCGTAATATGGCGGACTATCGAGCAAACGCAGCAGTACATTGAATATTGTCTATTGGTCGGTTAGTATGTGTACTCCATACCCCCGAGGCAGTCGTGGCTACGTGCTTCATTTGGATATGGCGGCGGCTGCGCTTTTTGTGACATAGTTATACTTCGAGGCACTGTTATCTTGCCTTTCTCGAGCACAAGACCTCGAGGACACAGCTGTTGCTTCAAACTATAGTATCCCACGAATAACCCATCGTTTGCCCTGAAAAGAAATCCAGAAAAATGAACCCTGACTGAAGCCCTCTTTTCCGTGTGATTCAGTGACCGGATCATGGGAGTGAGAATGGACACGAAGGAGGGGTACTGGACAGTACTGACCGTGTACGCACCACAATCCGAGCGGAAAAGGATGAGTTCTACCTGACCCTGGACGAGGCCATAAGATCGGTTCCGGAAGAGGACTACCTCACCATAGCTGGGGATCTGAATGGCCATGTTGGGAGGGACAGAAGGGGTCTAGAAAGGGTGCACGGAGGTCAAGGAATAGGGACAAAGAACGCTGAGGGAGAACGGATCCTTGACCTAGCCACAGCCCACGACTTAGCAATCTGCAGCACCTTCTTCGCGAAAAGGAGGACCAAAAGGTAACCTACAGCAGTGGAGGGAGACAAACGGAAATCGACCATGTCCTCAGAAGATCGTCTCTCAAAACCGTCAAGGATATCAAGGTACTGCCTGGGGAAGAGCTGGGCCCTCAGCACAGGCCTCTCCTGGCAGACATCGCCATAGACCTCCCCAAGAAGACGGGTGAGAGCAGAGCGGAGAATTCGGTGGTGGAAAATGGGCAGGGTAGAAAAGGATAGCCTCGGCCGAAGAATACTGGAGGCTGGGCTCCCAGACCCACATGGCCAGTCCAGGACACCTGGACCTACGCAGCAGAGGTCATCCTACAGTGTGCAAGGGAGGTCCTGGGAGAGACGCGAGGTGGTATCAGAGGAGACAAGGCAGCCTGGTTCTGGAACGAGGAAGTCCAGAGGATCGTCAAGCAGAAGAAGGAAGCATACAAACGCTGGCAAAAGACACGGAGCCCAGAAGACTACGCTGCCTACAAGAGCTGCAAGCGACTCGCTAAGGCGTTCCGAACCCATCCAGGACAGTCATTTAGGCCGTTGTTCAAGAATACGGAAATGTACGAGAAGTTGGAGGGCCGAGTAATGGACAAGTTCGTCTTCCGCCTGGCCAAAGCTCGGCATCGCGGTTCTCAGGATCATAGTCGTAAGACTGTGAAGAGCAGCAATGGGGCCATTCTCAGGAAACCAGCCGAAGTCAGGAAGAGGTGGGAAGAATACTTCGAGGGACTTCTGAACGAAGAATTCCCTCGCAAGGATAGCCCACAGATAGAGGCGACGGCAGGTCCCATCACTCCCTGGACGAAGGATGAAGTCCGCCGGAGCTAGGGAGAATGAAAGTTGGGAAAGCAGTGGGTCCAGACGGGGTACCGATAGAGGCATGGAAGGCCCTGGGGTGAGTTGGCTCACAGACTTCCTAAACAACGTAACGGCTGAAGGAAGGATGCCAGATGCGTGGAGGAGCAGCACAATCGTCCCCTCTTCAAAAGAAAGGGGACGCGACGGAGTGCTCCAACTACCGCGGCATCAAGTTGACTCCCCATACCATGAAGCTGTACGAGCGCCTGGTCAACACTAGGCTGAGGGAACTTGTCCCTATCTCGCAGGAGCAGTTCGGCTTCATGCCCGAAAGGTCCACCACTGATGCCATCTTCATCGCCAGACAGCTGATGGAGAAGTACCGAGAGAAGCGGCGACCCTGCTACCTAGCCTTCCTGGACCTTGAGAAGGCATTCGACCGCCTGCCTCGGCCTGTACTCTGGAGAGCGCTTAGAGAACGTAACGTTCCGGAGCACCTGGTCTCCATAGTGAAGGACATGTACGATGGGGCTAAAGCAGCTGTACGCACCCCTCACGGCTTGACAAAGGAGGTAAACATTACGGTTGGGGTACACCAAGGATCAGCCCTCAGCCCGTTCCTCTTCCTCCTGACTCTAGATGTCATGGCAAAAGAACTCATGGAGGGACCACTGAAAACCATCCTCTACGCTGACGACATCGCCCTGATAGCGGACAGCAGGGAGAACTCCAGGACAAGGTGCAGCGGTGGCAGATGTGCTCGCTGAGAATGGACTCCGGCTGAACGTGAAGAAGACCAAGTTCCTGAGCTCTGAACAGTGTTCCGAACCCATCCAGGACAGTCATTTAGAATCCATAGAGAGGATTAGGGTTTTCACTAGCTGGAAACTCAGCAGAAACGGCAACAAGCGATCCGAGAAGAGGTTGATCGATCTACGTAGTCATTGGTGCGCAAGATGCGACCCTTCTGAAAGAGTAAGGACGAGCAAAGTGACGCACAAATGGTGTTCGGTTTTTTTGATTTTTGATCGTTTTATCGTAATCGCGTCAGATCGTTTTCTCTTCGTGCGCGTCTTCTCGTTTCGCTTGTTGTTTTCAAATGTGTGAATAAGAATGAAAATGTTTGAGTAAAATAATTAAAGAAGAGGCGGTAACCAAGAAAGGAAAGGGATGTGATGCAAACGAACAGGATTAGTGGAGGAAGAGTCACGTAAAACGTAGTAAAAAGGGAATTAATGTTTGTTTTGTTTGCGTTAGTTCGTGTTTTTTTTCTTGTTTTTGTTCGTTGTGTTTTGCTTTGTTCGTGCATTTGATCCATATCCTTCACGGTATTGAAACAGAGACATAACGGTATGATGGCGCGACACGATCAGAAGCCTACGAGCTTGCTTACAAAAGAAGCATACGCTTCTTGTTGACATGCCGCTGCCAGGTATGTGGACAGCTAAAACAGCGCTCACAGCGGTTGAACTCAAGGAACCTGCGGCGACGTGAGCTCAAAGAGGGAAACATTATGCATGTGTCCAATGATTTCGTTGCAGAAAAGGCAATTGCTCGGAGGAATGTTCGATTTACTCGAAATGTTCGACACGTTTGGAAGAATAGGATTTTGGACTTGCGGTGTAGAAATTGTCGCTGCCGGAGGTAGTGGACGCGATCTGTGTGCACCGCGGGGTGGGAGTTACACTGGAGTACTGTAGCTGGCGGTGTTGACGGTTCTTCTTTGAATGTGGCTTGAGCCCGACGTGAGCTTGTTCTGGCTTAGCATTCGCTGTGAGAATGCAGTCTTCTAAGTGGCCGATCACATAGTTCACGGAGTCCTAAGTTAAGGTTAAGGCATTTGTATTCGGAAATGAACATTGAAACCATACCTTCATTTTTAGCGCGAGGGTGGGTTCCTTTTTCAGCATGTTTGCGCATGTGTTTTTGCTTAAAGAGGAAGGGTGTATGCAGTTCGATATTGCCTTGAAAACTTCGAAGAATTCACCCGATAAAGCTTGATTCTTTTGCGTGGTCCGTGGATCTCCTGCCGGATCGTCGCCATCGCCGTATGCATTATTTGCATCCCCGGGCAAACGATCTGCGGAGGGGCGCAAATAGGATGGAGACGAGGATGGACCCACCACTTGGGATTAACCTGATTGTTCTTCTTCGCCAATTTTCACGTCATCTTCGGTGTCTTCGGCGTGATCTATGCACATTTCGCTGTCTCGAAAACGTCTTTGCGATCAGACATCCTGGAATTGCTATTTTGAATATGGTCACTTAAAGACGTGAGAACGATACAGCAAAGTCTCAATGATACAATAGATACAAAGTGAATCAGTTGCAAGCAGCGAAGTATTAATTCGAGTAGGAGGGTTCGTGTGTATAAGGCTAGATGAATGAGTCAGCGAATGACTCTGGCAGAGAAGGAGGGGGAATGGTAAGCACAGTGTAATGTTGTGAGCTGATCGTGTCCTTTTCTTTGTGTGCTTGAGTTCGAGCTTGATCACAGGACTGATAGGGGAATGGCGAGGGCAGCCATGAGAATCGTCAGTTGCAGAAAGAAAAGACGAAATATTGGCTGACGATTGCGAAGAATTGTCCGATATCTGTCATGACCCTTGGTCATGATGACTAGGATGCACGGGTCGCAAATGCACACTTTCTAGAAAGCTCGCTCACCGCCTACAACCAACCAATAGGAGGCCTTGGCACCGCCCACCTCAGCCAGTATTTATACCGCCCATAATCAGGGCTATAAAGGTAGCGCGCTGAGTGCCGCCAGGCAGTTCGGTCAGTTCCTCTTCGCAGTCAGTTCCTCTTCTCTTCGCAGTTCTTCACAGTTTCTCCTTGCAGTTTCGCTGCTTTCGCAGCTCCACACTTCCACAGCCCCGAACACTACGAGCACACAGAAATGAGAACGAACACGATGTGCCAACACAAGAGACGAGACACAAGACACTGCGGACCCGCTATCGCCTGAAGAAGAACACAAGACACAATTTGACTCGCATTTGACACGAATATGCCAGTAGTTTAGCCTCGTATGTTTATGCTTGTAGTAATGATTGTAGTCATGCTGTATGTGCTATGTGTTACCAATAAACATGTAACCTACCACTTGAACCACCAAAACCTCATTTGAACCGTGATGCAGTTCAAAACATGGTGCATCGGCCCCATCGTAAGATGGCGAGAAGACCCATATTTCCATCCACGGCCCGACCCCCAAGGACGAGT